GGGACCAGCCGGTGGCGTGGTGGTTAAGGTGCTGGACTCCATCAAGGCTGACCACAGTTTGAGTCCTGAACCTGGTGGCTTGAAAATCACACTGGGTGTGTGTGCGTGAGTGTCCAAAATCCCAAGAGGAGAAAGGAGGAGTAACTGCAGTGTGGTCTTATTCCTTGGCAGGTGACTTCTTACTTTCCCTCTCTCTGTCTCTCTCTTAAAATAAAAAAACATCCAAAATGTATAACCAGAGTCTTAACAAAGGCTGCATAAGCATCATTTAAATGAACAAAGAAGGTAGGAAATGGAGATAGTCTGAAGAAAAGGTATCAGTCTTATGTGATTTATGAATAATTTGAGGTAGCAGTTAAATTACAGGTAGAATTTGCCCAAATTACATTTGGTAAGGCAGAGACGCAGGCAGGGGTTGTCATAGACAGCATATTAGAAGAACTGTAGAAAGCTAGTCCTCACATTACAGAGGATTAGGCGGGCTCCAGGAAGACAGCTAAAACAACGTGGGGAGAGCCAACTAAGCCCAACAGGAAATGTAACAGGAAATGAAAAGCAGAAAAACAAAAGTCAGACATCCAAGAGCAAAGGATAAAGCAGGTAGGCAGACAGGATCTTGGGCAGAAACCTGAGCCCCATCCTGGAGATAAGGCAGGACAGAAATAAGGAAGTAGCTGTCAAATATTGAAATATAGTAGTAATATATTGAATATAATAGTACTAGCACACATGACACCTATCAAACATGTCTTTTGCAGTAGGCACTATTTTAGGAATTTTAATGAATTTACGCATTTAAATTTCACAAGAATAAGAGAGGCTACTTTTAATGTCCTCGTTTTACAGATAAGGAAATTGAGGCATGAAGAAGTTAAGTAATTTGTCCAAGTTATATACATACTAACTAGCAGAATCAAGGTCTGAGCCCACGGTGAACATGTATTCTAAGTGAGCGTGTTTATATATTGGGACATCGAAAAGGCATGCCTTTTTTTCTGTTTTTCTTTATTATTATTATTATTTTTAATTTAATTTTCTTTTATATACTCAATAACGTTATTTAGCTTACAAAGTGAATATTTCAACATGTGCACATTTCTCCCTAGTCCAGTTGATAAAACTATAAAATTATTTTTCTGGTTTTCTATGCAAAAATGTGTCATAACTTCTCCAACAACCCAATAGAAGTGTATTAGGTATGCATATGGGTGTTATATATACACATACATACATAGTAAAGTTTTTTGGTGGGGAGGGGAATGTAATATTATTCCCATCTCTCTTTCTGGCACAAGACCTTTTCCTTAGTCAGTTAAAGGTATACCCTGCCTCAAGGAGGATTATAGCTATTAAAGAAAAAAGAGGTTATTTATTTTCAGCTTCAAATCTCAAAACAAACAAACTGTGTGTGCACGTGTACGTGTGTGTGTGTGTGTGTGTGTGTAATAAGACAAAGTTTTGAGGAGGACTTTTTTATTTTTTGCCATTGGGCGTGTGCTTGCCAGACAAAGAAAGAGACAGTGAGAGGGAAAGTGAGAAATCACCCCCAGGAAGGATGGTCATGTCGAAATCCCTTCTCCATTTTCCTCCTGGGGTTTTAGGCACACACACACATACACACACACACACACACACACATACACGCCCAGAGTGATTTTCAAGCCACCACGTCAGGGATTTGAACCACACTCAGCCATGTAAGAGTCCAGTACTTTAACCACTGGCCCCAAGGAGGACTTTTTCTACATTCTAAATTTTATTAATAAAGACTGACTTGGCCCATTTAGGCCACAGCTAGTTTTAGTATAAGTTGGTTTCCGCAGTCTCCATGTAGAAGTCCAATGCCTTAACCACCATGCCACCTGCTGGCCCTGAACAATTTACTCTTGATATGATGTGATAAGACTGGCACTTTACCTCTGTGGCCTTTCTCCTGAAAACCATAACCCCAATCTTATCCTGAGAATCAGACAAATCACAGTAGAGGGACATTCTACATAATACCTGATCAGTATTTCTGAAAAGGTCATCAGAAACATGGCAGATCTAAAAAATTATCACAACCAAAAGGATCCCACATTATGACCAAATGTAATACTGAAATCTTAATAGAATCCTAAACAAATAAAGGGCATTAAGGGGAAAAAAGAAATCTGAAGGAAGTATTGACTTTAGTTAATAATAATAAATCAGTACAGATCCCTTTTAGTGACAAAGTGTACCATACTAATGTAAGATGTTAATAGGGGAAAAAGGGGTAGGGAAACTCCCAGTACTACCTACACAATAATTTTCTAGCTCTAAAACTACTCAAAAATAAAAGGTTATTTAAAAAAAAAGATGAAGACGAAGATTAACTTTTCTAGGAAGCAGCTTAGAGCCTCCTCATCAGCCCCAAGAAAGGTACTCATGAGCAGCCCAACAACGATGTTACAACTAGCTCAAGTATGGAATTGGATAGGGCCAGCAGGTGGAGTGGTGTTTAAGGGCGCTGGACTCCCAGTGGTTTGAGTCCCAGACCTGGTGGTTTCTTCTCTCTCTTGCGTGCGCGCTCTCTCTCTCTCTCTCTCTCTCTCGCTTTGACCCTCTCTGGTCAGATTAAAATAAATAAATAAAATTAATAAAATTCAATAAAATAAATCTTTTTTAAAAAAAATATATAGAATCAGCATACAAATAAGAGATACAGATTTGTGAGTCAGCTACATAAAGTATTAGCCTCAACCACCATGCCACTTGCTGGCCCCCAAAAGGAGATAGTTTTTAACAAGGTAAAGACAATCAACAGGACCAAATAACCAGGAGATTAAATAGTTTGAGAATAAAAATGGATATCAGCAGAGGATGCAATAGTTATATTGCTGAACTCTCACATAGTCAACCATGGTTCGAGTCCTGGAGCCAGCAGCTTAAAACTCATGCCAGGTGCATGTGTATGCATGTCCAAAATCCCCAAAAGAGAATGGAGAATAACAATGTACTTTGGATTTGGCTTATAAGACTGCCACTTGTGACCTACAAGAGAAGAACTTTAGAAAAGGATAAGAAAGAAAGATGGCAAATAGACTGAAAAAAGATTAGAATGGGAATGAAAAAAGAGGAAGTAAGTGAAGCATTTATAGACCAATAATTTGAGTTTAGCAGTGAATGTAAAAAAAGAAAGTGGTTGACTGGGATATGGGACCATGTAGATAAATAAAAAAAATTAGGACAAGGAACAAACCTATATATTGGTCAAAGGTAAAAAGAGAAAAACTACTGAAAAAGATTGGTAACAGTTTAATGGATGGAAGAAATGGAATCTAGAGTATGAATTTCTAGGACACATTCATCTCTCTCGTGAGACTGAAGAGAAGAATCTGAATAGCAGTTATGCTTAACCGCTTAACCGTTGTAAGTTTGAATACCTCACTTTAATACTCCAAAATTTCATGGATTTCTGCCTATTCTACTCCAGAGAGTTTTTCAAACTTTAGAGTTCAGTGTATAGTATGTACATACATTTGCTTATTCCTCATCCATCTCAGAAGGTACCTATTTTATGGTGAAGATGAAAGGGTTATAGGAAACCAATTATTTGAGGGTCTTGATCTTCATGAAGTAAGAAATGAGGTAGAAGCTTATGACAACAAGGAAGTTGGGAGGTCATGACCTAAGTTTATGATTTACTGTAAATTATTTCAATACGCAAAGAAATAACTTATATTCTAATGGGAACTTACAAAACAATGTGAAAGTTAACAAAAAAAGGTTCCAGAAAGAAGGCATCTACTATCCTCCCCCAAATTTTTTACAAATCTGCTATTGCACTTATTAACAAAGATACCAACATACTGGTGAAAACAAAGACTACTTAGTGAAAGCTAAGTTATAGTCCAGTTTCAAATTTTTTTATTAAAATTCTTTTTCTTACATATCATTATTGCAACATTATTCACAATTGCTAAGGCATGGAATCAACCCAAATGACCAAGAGCAGATAAATGGATTGAAAACGTGTGGCACAACTTTTTAAAATAATTATTTTATTTAACTTTATTATTATTGTTTTAATATTTCCAGAGAGACACACACAGGGAGTGAAAGAGAGAGAGAGTGAGAAAGCAAGCCTCCGGGTCTGGGACTCAAACTACGGTTGGCCATGTGGGAATCCAGCACCCTTGACCACCACGCCACCTGCCGGCCCCAGGAGTGGCACAATTTTAAACTTTTTTAAAGTGAAAAATTTGTATGGCTTTCCATATGCATAAACCACCACCCTAATAGCTACTTAAACATACAATATTTCATTTTATTTTCTCTGAAGAATAAGGAGGACACTGACTAGAGATTGTGTTGCTCAGAACTTATTTTTAGATTCTACCTTTTTGGCTAATGTCATTAACAAGTCAAACTGAGTAGATAATTATGAGTTAACTATGTCCAAGTCACAAGTGTGGTTCACGTATAGTTCCAGGGCCCATTTATCATGACATTGTGTACCCCCAAAGGCAGTAATATCTGATTCAGTTAACTTAATGTATCGCCTTATAGTCATACTGCTTTAAAAAATATATATGGTGACCACCATAAGTAGAGAAGTTAGAGGAGATCCCATTCTTTAAATAAATTAGTAATACTGATGTTGCGCACGGAATGAGGATGACACAATACCCACACTAAACCTGGCAGTCTCCAGATTTGTGTCTGTAAAAGGAGGGCGGCCACACAGGCCACATGATTACTACTGCCAGCTCAGCAGCGAAGAGCTTGGAGAAAAGGCGGCATCCACACACAGGCCACTCTGGAGGATCTGAACTTGCGGCCAGTTTTGCCTGGTAGGGACTGGAGAAGGTGGCACCGATAAGCCAGGAAAAGTCTGACAAACAGGGAGTTGGGTGGTAACGTGAGACTCCAGGGCTGCAACGCTGGAAGACAGAAGGCAGCGGCCGGCGGGCCAACACCCTCGCCCCGGTGCTGAAAGAAACGCCAGGGGTTGGGCAGAAGGGGCTCGCCCTTACCTTGTCATCCTCGCATCGCTTTCCCAGGCCCTCCCTGGCCTGCAGCCGGCTGCTGAGGCGGCCGTAGTCGGCCTCCTTCTGGTCGATCTGTTTCTTGTGCGTGTCCACCAAGAGCAGGAGGTCCGAATTGCGCTTCTCCAGCCGCCCGCGGGCCACCTCGGTGCGCTGGACCTGGCCCTGCAGCTCGGCCACCTCCTCCTGAAGCAGGACGTGACGAGAGGAGATGCTCCAGTAGTTGAAGGCGAGAACGACGATCACCACCAGCAGCACCGCCAGCACGAGAGAGGGC